TTTGAGGAAGTTCACGGGAGAAGTTCCCGACGTAATTCCACTTTCAGAGTTGAGGATCGATGAGAACAAAAGGTTGATTGAGGAACCGGAGGCAATTGTTGACCGAAAGACTAAGAAATTGCGACGTAAGATGGTGGAGTTAGTGCTTGTCTGATGGAAACACACGGATGGGCCAAATCTCACCTGGGAGACGGAGAGTGACATGATGAGTCGCTATCCGCATTTGTTTGCTGGTGTGTGATTCCGGGGACGGAATCATTCTAAGGTGGAGAGAATTGTAACGTCCGTGTTTCTGGGCTTGCCATTTTTAATAATGTAATAGTCTAGGTTAACCTTTGTAACTAAATTTGAAATAATAAGAATGTATTATTTGTGAATTATGTGTTTATTTTCTTGATTTTTATAATTTAATGAATTAAGAATAAAATAAGCATCAAAATTAAAGTGTGAGATACGCCCGATATCTTTGCATAAAGTTGTAGTGGTCGAAACAAGGATTCCGGAGATATAAGGAATGCCAAAATCTGAGTTATAACGAAAAAAGTTATGACCTGTCGAAGTTTCGCGACAGAACCGACACGACGCCGAGTGACATAAAATATGAATTTAAGATAGAGCGATATTTAGCCTTAGCGATCTAAACGAAAGTCGCAGATTTCGTTAAACCGGGAGCGTGCATAAAGGGAACGCCTAAATCTGACTTCGTATGAGGAAGTTATGATTTTCTGAAGTTTCGACGTGGCAGTATGCAGCCCGAATACTCGATTTGAGATCGAGCGGTTTTTAGCCGAAACAATCTAAATGAGAAACGAAGATCTCGTTGTTAGTAGCGAAACGATGACAAGTTAGGCGAGGACGGACGTCAGACGAAGAAGTTATGAATTTATAACGAAGTTTTTCTGTCCCGGCCTTCTAAAAATAAATAATAAAAATAAAAGTCAAAATTAGCCGACGGAGTCTAAATGAAAGTTGTAGAGTATGGTCTGAACTTCGCGTGGATATAAAGAACGTCGAAAACGGAGCTCGTATGTGAAGGGTTACGCAATTTAGAAGTTCGACGAGTCAATTACGCCCCGCGTAATTTGAGTACGCCCAGCGTACTCAGTCGGATGCAACTTGTCTGACCAATACTCGAGTGCCACCAGTCGACGCACGCAGTGACGTCAAAGTACGCCCCGCGTAACGCGAGTACGCCCCGCGTACTGAGTACGCCCTGCGTAATGTGAGATTACGCCCCGCGTAATCCTAGACCCAGCAGCCTATAAATAGAACTCGAATTCAGCCATTTTCTCTTGTTCAAACTCTTCCCTCTCTCTAAGTTTTGCCTCGTTTTGCGTGTCGTTTATGCCCCAAAGCCCCGGTATCATTCCCGAGCCCCGAAGCAAGATCCGAAGCCCCGAGGATCCCGAAGAGCGTTATTCTCGAGCCGAAACGCTGCCCGCGAGGAGCCCGGTTTTGTGAAGATCTTCCAGATCTACGGAGAAACACCTCTTCTGCAAGCCATAGTGCTGCCCAATCATCTTCTGATCAAGTGAGTGTGTAGTTATTTTCATTCCAACGCAATATTATGAAGTATTTCCTATAAAATACGTGTTATGTGTATATATTTGGTTGTTATACGTGTGAGTGTATATTCACTCTCTGCTATCTTATAGATCTGATGTATTCTCTATGAAATACGTGTTATGTGTGTATGCCTCATCTGTTATGTGGAATATGTGTTGATTAAAACATGTTATATAGGTTTTTAAACAATGTATAAAAATGTATATTTTTATCTACTAATATGTTGGGTAGAACATGGGTAGGTAATTGGTGTGTAATAAACAGATGAGAGGCCTCGGTGTTATTGGTGTTATTCTAGTCATTCAGCAGAGTATGGATGACGACCACGGACTATTCTAGATTGTCCTGTGGAACACTAGCAGGCTCATTACCTGTAGGTGTTGTGAACGACGTGTTCACCGGTGTACTCTATCCCCCACATGGTTGCCTTTAGGACACTTATTGTTGAGGAAGCCCCTCTGCAGTAATGTCCGTCCCGATGAAAAATCCTGAAATTGGTTCCTTATAATAGACGTTATTTTTAGGAACGTAAGGTGAGGATAACGGGAATGGGTAATCGGGTTTATTGTTGATTGTTGAAATTAAATATAATTATTGTGGGTTGAAAACCCTATATGCTCACCAGGCTCCCAAGCCTGACCCACTCAGTTGATTTATTTTACAGGAAGTGGCGCAAGAGCTTAAGATGGGCGAACATCAAGTTGTTTTGTTTACAAGTCTGTATATGTATATATTTGTTGAATGACTTGTAATGTTATCGTTTATGCTTTATGACCTGTATCGGAACATGACATCCCGACTTTTGATTGTGAAATGAAATCATATTTCTTTATGAAATGTTTTGATAAATATCTATTTTATCATGTTTTGTTTTTGGGAACAAATTCCGCATCTCTTTTAAAATTAAAAGGATTTACTCTGAAAATTATTTTAAAAAGCATAAATGAAATCGGTCTTTTCTGATCGAGATTTTGGGGATGTCACATCAGTTAACTTTATAGTGTTGATACGGGTTACGACATTATCATAATGATGTATATACAAGGGATCATCAAAGTCAACATGACTGTCCTTATCACTACTACCAGGAGTTTCACCAGTCATGGTAAACAAATAAAAAATAATCGGATAAAGAAATCAAGCACACAAATAACAAACAAGAAAAGAAATCAGACATCTATGTTGACTTAAAGTCCAAATGGTCACCACATGTTTGTTGGGGGCCCAATACAATAAACACAAAGTCAAGAAAACAACACAAAGTGATGAATAGTAACTTGTGTACTAAAGACAACCAGGATCTTCCACAAGTATAACTAGAAAAGCAGTGGAAGGGAACAAGAATACGCTCACAGAGCAAGTTAGCAAAAGAAGAACCCAGATCGACTCCCGTTACTCAGTTCCCTACATGAGTTAACGATGATGAAGCCGGTTCTCAAGAGAGTTATTTCAGAGTTTAGGGATTGGTCGATCGAGGAGTTGACGAAGATGAAGTACGTCAAATGAAGAGACAAAGTCCGTCAAGCGAAGAACACCAAGAGATGACAAATCTGCAAGAACAAACAAGAAACTCGCAGCACCAGGATCTCAAGAGATAACAAAGAAAAAAAAACGTTTTCAATTGGAAGAAATTCCACAGAAAACCTTAGATCAAAACAAGAACCCTAGATTTTCACAGACTACGTCAACGAACTAGAGATTTCTATAGAACTCACCAAGGTTAATCGATCTATGAAGATCTACAAGGATCTAAACAACAGAAAACAAAGGATCTAAAAAAACAAAGTGAAGATACCTTTCATGTCTGATGAGCGCAAGAACAGATTAGTCAGTGAACGAAACTCCTAGCCACCATGACTCTAATACCATGTTAAAAATTATAATAATAATTTTTTCCGAACATCAATAACTATTATATCATTTAATGACAAAAAAACCTTAAAGTTTTCATGTATATACAAATAAAACCTCACTGCAAATATTTATTCTAATATATCACTCAACCAAATCTAAAACAAATTATCAAGAAAAAAACATCAAAATATTGATAAATCCTAACATCTATGATATATATATATATATATATATATATATATATATATATATATATATATATATATATATATATATATATATATATATAGAGAGAGAGAGAGAGAGAGAGATAGATGTAATTGAAAAAATCAATCTATCACTCTAAAATGCAGCTGCCCTTTCTTTATATCACCGGATTAAAACTACGGGTCAAATCCCAGAATCCACGCGTCAAATTTTGTACTAGATTAACAAAAAAACAAGCTGCAACCCAGAAGAAATGGGAAAATGACTTAAAAGCCCAACGAAGTTTCCAAACCATTCAAAAAACCTCAATCATGTTTTGTCTGTTCAAAAAAACCCAACGAACTTAACCTTTTGTCTAAAAAGTTCAACAAAGTTTCAAACCGTTCAGAAAATTCCAATTTTGTTTTATTTAAGTTCGTTGGGTTTTTTTTTTGAACAGTCAAAACATGATTGGAGTTTTTTAAACGTTTTGGAAACTTCGTTGGTCTAACAAGTCATTTTTCCGATACGGTAATAAGCCACATCATCTGTTTCTCTTATTTGACTTTCAAGAAAGTGTAACTTAGTTGGGTTTTGTAGATATAATGTTAAGTTTGTTGAGTTTTTTTGAACAGACAAAACATGATTGGAGTTTTTTAAACGGTTTGAAAACTTCGTTGGGTTTTTAAGTCATTTTCCCCAGAAGAAATCTATAATAACAGAAACTATTCTTTAAACCAGATCAATAACAAAAAGTGTCACGATAAGGAATAACAATATGTCCACAATCATCCCAACAACAAAAATAAATACAAAACTAATCCAGAAAAAATAAATAATGAATGTTAAAAATCAATTAATATTTTCAAACAGAAGTTAACACCACGATGCCCGACTTTTGTATCCCATGTGTATGTCACTTGCAAAATCTTGAAATCAGTGTCCCAAGTTCAGTGGAAAAGGTAACAGAGAATATGGCAATCTTGATAAAGAAGCTACATACTAAGCTTTTTATGCACGTATTTAAATCAAATTCGCGAGATATTATAAGTATACAATTTCAATACACGGTATATAAATACAAAAATACGTAAAGTTTCCAGGTATTCCATTTTCACATTATTCATTATCCCTATACAATACACAATATATATCTCTCTTAGCCACCATATTACACCAACCAACCAACCATCAAATTTAACACTATTTTTGTGTAAGGTCCATTTTAACAGCAAATATAAAGGCCTTTTTTGATTGGAATTCAAATACCATTTTGGTACTAAACAATCATTTATATATATTCTTTTTTTCTTTTTTAGTGATAAATTTATTCTTCGAGAAAGTCTCCCTGACTTCCTAATTAACCTAATTAATTAACCTAAACAAACACAAAGTTAAAACGTACTCATACTGCTACCACCTTCTTTGAGGTCGCCAAAGATGCGTTGTCGGAAATCCGACACCATCAGAGGAAGTCCTTCCCGGAGTGTCACTGACGGCTGCCACCCAAGAAGCTCTTTAGCTCTGGAAATGTCTGGCTTCCTCTTGTGTGGATCATCTTCTGTATTTGGCCTGAACTCTATCTTTGCATTTGGGTCTATCGTATCTTGCACCACCTGACACAAATCCACATCGCTTTCTTGAATTAATTCACAGAAACCCTTGAAAGTTTATACATATAAAAAATGACAGCGTTTTAGGGTTACCTTGGCGAGTTCAAGCATGGTGAATTCACCAGGGTTTCCGAGATTAAAAGGTCCAACATGTTCTCCTTCCATTAGCCTCATTAATCCATCTACCAAGTCGGACACGTATTGGAAGCTCCTTGTTTGCATTCCATCTCCATAAACAGTCAACGGTTGTTTCCTCAAGGCCTTAATTATATTGATCGATACACCAAATATTAATTTGTGTTTTTTTTCCAAATTAACAATCACAATTTGTTAATTAATAATTAAACGTCCACCTGAGCGACGAAATTGCTGACAACACGTCCGTCGTCAAGGCACATCCGTGGTCCATAAGTGTTGAAAATTCTAGCAATCCTAACCTGCAAAAGATATCATCAAAAGTTGTACGTTGTTTTCCATGATACTTAATTACAGAAAAACGGAAAACCATATATGGGAACCTCGGTGTTAAGCCCTCTATGATAATCCATGGTGAGGGTCTCTGCAACACGCTTTCCTTCGTCGTAACAGCTCCTAACACCTGCATGCATCCATGGAAAATTAACAATATGTATTAAGCTAAAGATATATACTGGAATTAATTAACTCACCAATGGGGTTAACGTTGCCCCAATAGGTCTCGACTTGAGGGTGTTCAAGGGGATCGCCATAGACCTCGCTTGTACTCGTTAACAAGAATCGTGCATTGATCCTCTTTGCGAGTCCTAACATGTTCAACGTTCCCACCACATTTGTCTTGTGATATCTCAATCTCCGTCAAGGATCGATTAATTTCTAACAAACACAATTAAAGTTCTAGATCGATGTCACAATAAATTTCATATATACAAATTAACCTGGAAGAAAATAAAGTTATGAAGGATATGATTGTTTTGACGGGGTTGTATTTGTAATGTACGGGGGAAGCGGGGCAAGCAAGATGATAGATTTGATCGACTTCTAACAAGATGGGTTCAACCACATCATGGCGAATGAGCTCGAACCTAGGGTTCCTAAGATGGTGGAGTACGTTGTCTTTCCGGCCTGTAAAGAAGTTGTCGAGTACGATAACATTATCCCCACGCGCCATCAGTCGATCCACCAGATGGCTTCCGACGAACCCTGATCCACCCGTCACTAACACCCTCAAACTCTTCGACTTCAACCCAAGAGGAATCCTCGCACCTGTACAATCAAATATATATAAACATCGATCTAATTATAGTGTGACGAAGATCAAAGGGAGGAATAATTAAGTTCGTAATTAATTATATTAGCAAGGTTTTTGCGATGATTCCCTCTTGAGCTGAGATTTATTAGTCTTATCGAGTCCATTATTGCACATAATGGATCGACTGCATCTAAAATCGTATTCAAATTTGTTGCTAACAAAACCCTAAAAGGATGAATATGTAAATAAAATAAAAAATGAATTGGTGATTTGGCTACGGACCCGCCGCATTGACGAGATCGAAATTGCGTGTAGGGAGTTCATAGGCTATCCGACGGGGTACGGAAGTCGATACGGCAACCTGAAACGATGCAGAGATCGGTTCAGACTGCGACGACGACGGAATGACGACGACATTGGATATCAGAGCTACAATGGTTATTCCGATAAGCACAAACAGCAGACGTTGTTCTCCAAACATGTACCGAACTGAATCCTTGATCGAAAATCTGGCAGGATTGATCTGGCCTTCGTTTTGAATCCTTTCTGGATTCATATTTCGATTTTTTTTTATTTGATGATTATGATCCGGAATAATGAGCGAATCTGTATTATTGGGCAAATCGAAAGGGAGAATTTGTCGGGAAGGATGGAAAGAGAGAGAGAACGGGGCATGATTTCATACATGCGTAGATCTTCTGCTTTACGTGAGAGAGGCTCAAACTGAGGGAGGTTCGAAATAGACGGTGCATAATTTGTAATATTATTATCACATAAAAAGTAAGACAACCCTATTCTCGTCACCATTTTCTAGCCCAAGTTTCGGAGGCCTAAAATACTAATAAAAAATGGAGTAAATTACACGAATGGTCCCTATGGTTTAGGGTAATTTGCACGTTTGGTCCCTAATTTATTTTTTTAACTCGGAAGGTACCTACTGTTTGTTTTTGTTACACGCTTGGTCCCTATCTTACCTAAAAAGACTATTTTGCCCTTGATTTTTTAATTTATTTAAATAAACATACTCCCAACCTCACTCCACTCACCTTACCCTACCTATCCCATCATCTTTCTCTAATCAAATAATAATCTTTTTAGGTAAGATAGGGACCAAGCGCGTAACAAAAACAAATAGAAGGGACTAAACACGTAACAAAAACAAACAGTAAGGACCTTCCGAGTTAAAAAAGTAAGTTAGGGACCAAACGTGCAAATTACCCCAAACCATAGGGACTATTCGTGTAATTTACTCTAAAAAATGGTTAATTGCATATTTATGCAACGAAATTTAATCGTCCCTGTTTATGCAATTGTGTTATTTTTATACAAAACATATAAACGTATTTTAAAATAGATCTGAATCATGCAACTAGCGAATCTGGTTATTAAAATTTTAATCGACCTTTATCTTTCAATTTCTACTTTTTTTTTTCTTTTTTTTCTTTTTAAACAGCAAGAAATTTATCAAAGCAACACAAACAATATGCTAGTGAGCATTAACAAAAAATGGAATTACAATTAATGACAATGTCCTTGAAAATCTTGTTGTTCATATACACCATAAAACCCATATGAAAGCCAATAGAATCACTTCAAGTTTGTTGCCTTTATCCTTCTTATCTGCATTCTTCTTCTCAATAGTTTGGAACATATCTCCAATGGCAACTTTGTTAGCTGGAAACTCATGACTCCACATATTAAGAGGAGCGATAACTTAGCCGTCGAACACCAGGTAAACAGGTGGTTCTTCGTCTCCTCATAACTATGGCACAAAGGGCAATGTGTGGATCTGATTTGAGAACTTCTCACTGCCAAATTCGACAAGGTTGGTTAATGACCCAACCTTGTCCTCCAAAATAGTACATTTAATTTTTTGGGAGTTGACTTGTTCCAGTAAGTATGAAAATCCAAACGTTCAAGAGCGTGGTAGTCTATAAGCTTTCTAATGGAAGAAACCATGAATTTTTCATCATCTTCGAGGCCCCACTCCCAGCCTTTATTGGTTCTGTAAAACATGTTTCTAAGATCTATATTTCCAAGGTTAAGAGTTGTTAAATGTGAATCAAGCATTTGGATTATGTTCATGGAGCATTTTGAGCACTTGGAACTCGATGGAGCAATTAGGGTTCATGGAGCTTGTGACAAAGAAACGGATCATCTGAGAAAGGAATGGATCATCTGAAAAAAGAATAGATCAAGTGCCAAAGGAACGAATCGTACATAAGGGAGTTTGGGGCACCTGGAAGAGGTTTGGAGCACTCGGGAGTTATATGGAGCAACAATGGAACCTTGTTGCACCATATATTGAAGGGATGGGCCAAGAAGGATGCTGTTGCGCCAAGAGCATTCCTTCTTGTGCCACTATCCTCCATCTTGCACCATGAGGGGTTCTTCTTGAGCCATAGGGTACTCTTGTTGAGCCATGGAGTATGCTCTTGCGCCATGCATGTCCTTGTTGTACCATGTATGTTCTTACTGCAACAAGGTGGTGTTGTTGCTCCAATCTTAATGTTCTTGTGCCACACTTGAAGCCTATTACGCCATCCATACACTTGTTGCACCATCATGGTGCAAGTTGGACCATATTGGTCCTTAATGAGCCAAGTATGATATGACATCCTATATGATGTTCAAGACCGTTCAAGGATGCTCAAAAGTTGGTATTGCTCAAGGATTACACCATATTGTGCCACCATGATGGATGTTGGGTCATTAGTGTTCATGATGCACCACGTGTACATCATGATGCTTCACTATGGTACAAAGTGCTCCATCATGTGTGTTGTTGATGCTCATGGGTTGTATGACATGGAAGAATGTTTCAGAAGATGTTGGATTAGATGTCTAAGCTCATAACTATTATTGGTATGTACTTGGCCCGAGAGTAGCATGGTCCATTTGGTTGCATATCATCAGGACAATTTGTTAGGATAAACTTTTGAGAGAAGAGGTTATATATGATTTATTAATATATTATAAGTTATAATATATTAATATGAAATCATATGAGTTAATTAGTATTGATCAAGAATTAATTTGGAATTAATTTAGTGATCAAAAGAGGCTAATTAAATCTATGGGGACTAATTATGTTAATTAGTTATATATATATATATATGTGTTGGGCTTATGATCCATGTTGGACCAAGTTTATGTATGGATATATAAAGAGTTGGGCCACATGAACCATGGATCATAAAACCCATAGGTATGGATTTGGGTTATATCCATGACTCTAGAAATCCCACATATAAATACATACTTCATTGCCCAAAATCTCCATAAGTGTATTCTTGGAGTTCATGGTGTTTTTAGGTGCATGGAATTCTCTCTCAAGTTCATCCTTTTTCAATGGTGTGTTGTGATTCCACTTGAGGCTTCCACACTATTAGGGCTAAGCTCTTTAAGGCCAAATACATCAAAACTTCAAGTTCCATCAAAAGGTATGTTATCCTAACTAGTATTTTATATGGTTTATATCAAATACATGCTAGTTGTAGGTTTACTACCTTGGAAACCATTTGCATGTATAATTAGTGAAAACATAGATCCAAGGTATTTAGGATTGTATGTGCACCATATGATATTGTAATATACTAAAACCCAATAGTGGTATCAGAGACATGAGTTGTTTTCAATTATACTTGATGCAACTAGTTGAAAAAAACCGAATTTTTTCTGTTTGGACAGTAGACTCGACGATTCCAATGTGTGACTCGACGAGTCCATGAACAAATGCATCCAACTCGTCGAGTTTGTTCATTCACTCGACGAGTTGGGCCCCCTGATAGCATATATTCGTGTTTTTTGACCTGTTTTGGATGAGAAACATTACCACAAAGTGTTTTTGTTCACAAAATTTGTTTTTGGTACTATGGTAATGTTTATTTTCATCCAAATAAAGGATAATTGTCAAAGTTTCATGAGTCATGTTAATTTTTGTGACTAGCTATGTTCTTGAAAAATGTTGATATGAATTGTCTTTACTTATGAGTTTGATCTTGTTCATAGAAAACTTACTTGATTAATGTGTTAATTGGTAATTTGATCGTAATGTTTTTTTATAAACTCCATAACTTGTCCTCAAGTTATGGAAAGTGAAGAGTTTTTCATTTAAAAGCACATTAAGTCTCATAGGTTATGAAAATGAAAGAGACTCTATTTTTAATGTCATCATTAAATGATTTTATGTCTTCCATAACTTGTCCTCAAGTTATGGAAGTTGAAAGGTTTTTTTCATTAAACCATAATTAAACTCATAAGTTATGAAAATCCAAGAGTTTGGAAAGGTTTCAAAACTTGCCCTTAAGTTTTGAAATTTGTAAAGTCACCCCCATGTACACTTTAATTCCAAACCCTTTTTAAAAGTTAAAATTCAAACTTTATGGACTTCATTAAATTAATAAAAGTGTTTAATTAAAAGAGTTAATAATTCCATAAAGATATAGTTTAAGTTTAATTAAATTAAGAGTATAGTTTAAGTAATAGATTAAACCACCAATTATTTTAAATGTTTAAAATACACCCTTATATTATTATAATATTAAAAGTTAATGATTATATATATATATATATATATATATATATATATATATATATAAGATTAAAAGTCAGCCTTACCGTTAGTAAGCCTCATTCACGAAGTCGGTCTATAAGGGGGGGGGGGGGTATAAGGTTACTGCCTATAAAATGGCAGTTTAATGGGTGTCCACTCTCACCCACCATCTCCTTGACTGGTGAAGGGTCGTTAACCGAACGGGTAGGAAATGACTATAATTCTCCTTACATTAAAAATATAATGATAAATACTAAGTAACTAAACACTTATAAATTCTCAATCTTAGTTACTTAGGAAAATGTTAAATGGTGATAACCCATGAAATTACACTTTGTGTTGGGTTATGAGCATTCTAACACTCCTAAGTGTACATGCAACCCTAAATACCTTGGATCTATGTTTTCTCTATTATACATGCAAATATGAATATCCAAGGTATTATCCTAAACTAGCATACAAAACAATGGATATAACAAGATAGAATACATACCTCTTTGATGGTGCTTGTCTTCATGAAGCTTGAGTGCCTAGTGCCCCAAGTGTGACACCTCAAATGGTTCACAATCATCAAAACACTTAGAATAACTTAGAGAGAATTCTACACTTCATGAAATCGGCTAGCCCTCTTCAAGAATAATACTAGTCTCTCTAGTGGCCGATTTTCCTCAATAATAAGATGCTTATATAGTTATACAATTAGGGTAAACCCTAATTGTCATGACTTTCCATTTCCTTGGATCCATTGGTTCAAATACACCATGGAGCATCATATGGGTTTTGGCCCAACTAGATAATCCATGAAGCATTAGCCCACTATACAAGTATGGATGATTTACACAATCAACCCATATATATTTAATTAGTCTTCTTTTGATCACTCAATTAATCCTAGATTAATTCTTGATCAATACTAATTAAATAATCTCATTATTCTTATTATTAATATACTAGAACTTATAATATATTAATAACCATAAGTGTCTTATTTCTCTCATTTAGTCTATCCAAGTGCATGATGGTATGCAACCCAAATGGACCATGCTGGGTCGGGTCAAGTCTTACCAATTATAGTTATGGACTTAGACATTAATCCAACAGTCTCCCACTTGGATAAGTCTAAAACTATTATTGCGTATGACTTCAGGAACCAACTGGCAATCGTAGCT